ATAATGTTTATTCAAGAAGTGTGAAAAGGTATAAAATGAAATAACATTTAGTTTCATGAGTTTTTTTTTCTTTTCTTTTTATTTTGCAGATTCACTCCAAAGAGTGCTTAATTTCTAATGATCTAATGAAGTAAAAATGCTTTTAGGGCTTTAGCTTAGTGTACCTTCAAACAAATGGTAGAATATTGTGGTGGTAGTCCTTTTTGTTTAAAGAGATGAATTGAGACTGATTATGGATATTACATATCTGTAAAGCCTTTTAGGTTTGTATTTTCATTCTCATAATTGTCTCATATTAATAAGTACCTCTGTGAAACAAGGTTTTTTTTTTTTTTGTACTGGAGATTGAACTTAAACTCAGGGAAACTCAATCACTGAGTTATAGTTATTGCACCCCAACCTGTTTTTTTTTTTGTATTTTATTTAATGATAGGGTCTCACTGAGTTGCTCAGTTCCTTGCCACTACTGAGGCTGACTTTGAACTCATTATCCTCCCAAGCCACTGGGACCACAGGCATATGCCACCATGCCCAGCTGTTTAAGATATTATAAATCATTATGTTCATGACTTTGTTTACAAGTTTATATATAAGTTTATATAGCGGCTATTATATATTGAGGACCTCTTGAAACATATCTTATTTTACTTTCAACATTGGCTTCTGAGGTAAGTATAATTAGTTTCCCTCAAACCCTCAGAACTGCAGATTAGAGCTGCTGACTTACCCAAGGGCACAACTAATCAGCTAGGATTTCAACCGGGTCCTACAAATCATGCTCTCTTCTGCATCAGCCTAATTCTTCTTTTCACTTTACTTGCTGAATTTTCTTAATGCTCTTCATCATTTATTCCATAAATTGTCTTTTTCTTCATTCATGTAGAAAACTGGCTTTCAATTTCAAACAAATTTCCACTTTTGACAAAAAAATGGAAAGGCATTTTTTTTAACTGATGATATCTGGATAATTGGCAGGCAAAAATCAGATGGCTTCAGATGTACTCTGCACCAACAGAGGTGCCTTTAAAATCTGAAACATTTGGCCAAAAGTTTATTGTGCACATTGAAACATTGAACTTCTTGTTATGTAGGTTATTTAGGTTAACCTCGATTTGTGTAGCAGTGTCAGTTATTGCCGTAATTCAAACCTAGAATCAATAGCAATTCCTTCTGGATATGGAAATGGCAAGCAGCCATAAATAACTCTTAGGATTTCTGGACTTATCAACCAATAGGATAGATTTTTTTCTGAAATAAATAGAAAAAAAATTTGGAGAAGTAAGTTTGTTGATGCTGGTGTCTGAAGTTTATTTTGGACATGTAAAATTTGAGATGTATATTGCTTAGCGAAAAGGAACCAATGATTAGAGAGTTGTACTTATTGAACCCAAGGTCATCAAAGATATCTAGATTAAATTTGGCATGTTAATGACATTTAAAGCTTTTTGCAAACTTGTAAAACATGTGAGGCAGTAAGTCCAGCCCAGGAGCTCCCATTGTATCAGGGATGCTCTTATCTGGAAATCAGAGGGTTGATTTTTGTTATCTTTTGTAAAATTACATTTTTGGAGTATATAGGTAATCACAGAACGGAATATTAGGTCAGAACTTAGCAGTTGCAAGGGTTTCTCTGTGGTTAAGGAAGCAATAAACAGTAAAATGGTTTCCCAAAGACATCAAGCACCTAATTACAGAAACTTGTGAACATGTTACGTTATATGACAGAGAAAAATTAAAGTTGAAGAAACAGTAAGAACTGACAAAGGTGGGAAGAAATGAACAATGAAAACAATGTAGCCTTCTAGCTAATACAGCAATATTTAGTACGTCTACCCTATGTCAGGCACATACACAAATGATGACATCTTTTTGCCTTAGCATGCTGTTTATAGGCTTTAGCCTTAAGAGTCATGTTCCAATGTACGTTATCTATACATTTCAGAGACAAAGGTCTAATTCTTCCAAGTTTCCTCTGCTCACTCTGGTGAAAAAAAAAAACAACTAAACATTTCTTATGTAGTACCTATAGGAGAGGTAGTAACTTGATCCTCATACACACCTTGTAGCTGTTCTATTTTGCATGCTTGGGCTCTTACAATATCATTGTCCTAAGATTATGGTTTTCATGAAATCTCTGAGATAAGAGAAGAAACTTTCATTCTTTTAAAAAATCTGGTTATTTTATATTGAAATAACTGTTTAAATCTGTAGGTCTTGTATATTCAAATAGTTTTTCATTGTTTTCGCCTCTCATCTCTCATGGTACTGGGAATTGAACCTAGGACATTCTACACCTACATCCCTGGTCCTTTTTTATTTTGAGACAGAGTTTTGCTAAGTTGCTGAAGCTGGCATCAATTTTATGATCCTCCTGCCTTAGTCTTCCTGAGGCATTGGGTTTACAAATGTATAACACCACACCTGGCCCAGATAGTTTTCTAATCTTACCTAGCCCCCAACCCTAGGTTTTGACACTCTAAAACATCTTTCTTTTTATAACTATATTTGGACTGCTGGTATGTATAGCAGATATAAAGTCCTGGTGCAGCTAAATGAATGAAAGGATCTGATGGATAGTTAGGTACTGTCTGTAAACTTCATCGGATCGAGGAAAATATCAGACTAAAAAACCTCAAGAATTAAAGCTGTTGGAGCAGAAAAATATTCTGGATGAACAATTGATATTTAGAAAAGTTGAGAATAAGTTGCATTTAGAATTTTGAATAGGTAATCATGGGTTTCATTTTTCTGATAACATAAAAAAATGTATGTTTATTTCCTTGATTTACTGAGTCCAAATAGTTAATTTTTCTATTTGTGCATATCAAAGATGAGTATAGCTTTGTTTTATACACACAGTCTTATTTTAAAATAAAATTCTTCTATGTCTTCTTTTATTTTTCCCATTTCCTTCTCTTTCTCTATTAAATGCAAACCTTGATGTCAACTAATGCTTATTTTACCTCTGTGAGGAAATTTATGCAACCAGTAATCAGATTATGACACCAACCCTGGGTCTGAGCAATGGTAATCTTCTGCTTAACTTTAGGTTTTTGTGCTTAAATAACATCCTGTAGCCTACATGACAGGAATCTGAAAGCATAAGTGTCCTTGCATGTGTTTTACTTGAATTAGAATTATATAGGTTAAATATTTCAAACCTTCAGTGAACATTGTAATAGAGGGTTTACCTGTAATGATCTGAACTGTGAAGTAAGGGCAGTAAAAGGCATCCCAAGTGAATCAGAAACATTCTGACTCATAATTGTCCATGCTTAAGTATTTAAACAGTATTTCCATCTTTTAATTGCCCCAAGAAAGATATGTTTAATGTATTGAAAGTTACAACTTAATTCTTGAATGAAGATCTGATTGTAATAATAGAGTAAGGCCATATGTACAAACAGAGTAATATTGAGTTTGAATAGTAATAAAAAGTAATTCTAGGAGATATGGATTCCAAGCCTGCTTTCACTCCAACTCTGACCTTGAGAAAATTATTTTTTATCCTTTTTCTCCATTTATTCATATCAAAATGAAGCTGGGTATTGAATACTTTTCAGATTTTTTCCAGTGTTAACATGCAACTGAGCTGTGATGGATGTTGGCAGCTTATGACCAGTTTAGCCTCTCCTTCTATTTTTCTTCCTTTGTGCAGTCTTTGAATAGTTACTGAACACTTATTTAATGCCAGGTGCTATTTTGGTTGCTAATCAGAGAAAGGAGAGAGAAATCTGAAATGAATTGATGGTGATGAGGGAATGTGTTAATAAGCAGAGTTCTTTAAGGTGAGGATAAAGGCTCAGAGGACGCAAGCAATATATAAAAGTAAGGAGCACTTAGCTGTGGTATGGATCCTTTAAATCAAGTGTTAATGATAGCCTCTTTGTAGAAGTGACATTTTAAAAACCATTTTATGCATTTATAATTAATGTACAGCAAAATGCACAGACTACACGAACACAGGTTGATGGATTTTAACAGCTGTGTGCATAGAAGAACTCACCATTCTAGTGGCAAGAGTTTCCTCTGCCCTTTCCTCCTGCCTTGCCCTGCCAAGAATCTAATTTATTTTACATAGGTTCACAGTTGTTACCTATCCTAAAATTTTACAGTATTAGAATCATTGAATTTTGGGTGCCAGACACTGTTTTAAGTGTTTTGCAAATAATGATTCATTTAATCCCTACAGTAGCCTGTGTAGTCAGTGCTGTTATTATCCTGAAATTGCTGGTTAGAACAAAGGACAACAGGCAGACAGCAAGAGTGCCATTGGATTCCTTTTTTTTTTCCTTTGAGCACTTTATTCTTTAAATTCAGTCGTGCATGGGCTTCAGATAAGGAAACTCTAAGAAACAAAATTGATGCCAGTAATAATATGTTTATATTACAAAAATATATTTTGGTAGAAATAAACAAGACACATAAGAATATGACCACACAGATGAAAGAACAACATATTCTTTTTTTTTTTTTGAACACGATGTTTTTTTATTTTTATGTGGTGCATAAGTCAATTTATATAAAATCACATGGCTAGAAAATTCTAGAAAAACAGCATGTTTTCTGATTCTCAAGTCCAGGAGTCATTCAGTTATATTACATCATCTAATGAAAGCTTAAGGGAGATCTTCCAGATAATAGAAGCTGGTTAAATATTTAAAAATAGAGGAAAAGATTGCTTCTTGGAATGGGAATCGAACCCATGGCTTTGGGAATATGAGGCAAGCGCTTTACAGATTTGCCATTGAGCAGCTTCCCAGCCCAACATTCATGTCAGCATGGGAATTCGGGGCTGTTTTTATGAATGAATCTATTATGAATATTAATATAAGACTGACCAATGGCGTTTGTGTGTGTCCAACCCAATTATCATAACTTTGGGCCAATAGCATTGGTACTTCTTTCAAGTCCTAATTAGCATAAGTTTGGACCAATAGCATTGGACCAAGCGCTATATAAACCCTTTGGAGGCTGTTCTGAGGAGGAGAAGCTGCCAAGGTCTTCAAGGTTGCTGAGCTGCAGTTCGCTGCAGTTCGCTGCAGTTCGCTGCAGTTCGCTGCAGTTCGCTGCAGTTCGCTGCAGTTCGCTGCAGTTCGCTGCAGTTCGCTGCAGTTCGCTGGAGTTTCACCAGAGTTTCGCCTGAGTTCCGCCGAGTTCCACCGATATTCCAGCCTGCTTTGGTTCCGGAGAAGATTCTTTGACAAAAGAAACTGCAGAAAGAAGAAGAAATGGTTGAGGATCTGCTGAGGTCTGCTGCAACGCTGGATGGAATGGCCCGCCATGAGGAGCTCGGACTCCTCTCTGCTGCAGAGGCCTCCCCGCCCCGCGCGCACAGACTCCTACCTGCCAGCAGAAGCCATGGAGGTTCATCTTAAAACTCCGGTTCCAAAGGTATTGTTATATGTTAGATAATTAGCGTCTAAATATTGAAATTTGTTAATTTTATTTTCTAGTAGTGAAAATTATGAGATTCATAAAGAATAGAAAATTATTTCCCACAGTTCTGGAGGCCAGAACCGGGAAAAGTCTGTCTCAATAGTTGTGTCATCATTTGGTAGAAAAGTGGGAGAGACTAAACCCACTCTAAAAAGCTTTTTTTTCCCCTCATTCATTTGAAGTTCATTTCAGTGCTATAGAAATGTTTAAAGGAACCTAGGAAATGTTTCATTTCATTAATTTTCATTTATTGGTTGCTTTCGTTATAAAATCCAGTTTTTTAAAAAATTTTAAAGTTATTAATGGACCATTTATTTTATTTTATTTTATTTATATGCAGTACTGAGAATTAAATCCAGTGCCTCACACATGCTAGGCAATTGCTCTACCACTGAGCCAAAACCCTGGTCCATAAAATTCATTTTGATACAGTCCATATTTGTATAATTATACCTTATCTCTTTAGAGTTGCATTTTTAGGCTATACATGATGGTGGGATTCACTGTATTGTTTCCATGTATATACATGGGAAAGCTGTGTCACAGTCTTTCCACTGTCTTTCCTTTGTTTATACCTCCTCCTTTCCCTCCATTCCCCATTGTCTAATCTACTGCACTTCTGTTCCCATCACCCTTCCTGTTGTGGGTTCCCTTCCACATATCAGATAAAAGATTTGTCTTTGTTTTTTGTAAACTGGCTTAGCTTCAGTTAGCGTGATTGTCTCTAGGTGCATCCATTTCTGGGCAGATATTGTAGTCATATTTTTTTCCTGCAAATTTGTATGTTTTCTTTAATCTACTTATAAAGAAACTTGTTCTAATTCTACATGACCATAGAATGCACTTTGACATATCATACATAAATGTAGTATGATTTCTGATGCTTCTGGTTGTGCAGAATGTAGCAGTACACCAGTCATGTAATTGTATATTACTTTGGATGATTATGTATGATTCATTCTACTATCCATTTTACTCATTATACTCCTTCCCCTCTCTTCACTCCTCTATTCAATCTAAAGCAAATGTATTCTTCCATACCCGCCCCCCCTTACTGTGATTAGCATAAGGCATCAGGAAACACTTTCAAACTTTGTTTTTTGGGGATTGACTTATCAGTTAGAATGATAAGCTCCATCCATTTACCAGCAAATGCATAATTTCATTCTTATTCAAGACTGAGTTGTATTCTATCATATATATATGTATGTGTGTAAAATTGTTTTTTGTGTGTATGTATATGTGTGTATATACACACACACACACATATGTATATGTGTATGTATGTATATATATATATATATATATATATATATATATACTCATACACACCACATTTCATTTTCTTTATCCGTTTATCTGTTGAAAGGCACCTAGGTTACCTCCATAGTTTAGCTGTTATGAGGTGATCTGCTGTAAACATAATGTGGCTCTTTTATTGTAATATGCTGATTTAAAGTCCATTGGGTATAAAATGAGGAAAGGGACAGGTGTGTCAAATATTGGTTCCATTCCACGTTTTCTGAGGAATCTCCATACTGCTTTCCATAATGTTTGTACCAATTTTCACTCCCACCAGCAATGTGTGTATGCCCTATTTTCCTCACATCTTTGCCAACATTTATTGTTATTTGGTAATTGTATTCTTGATAATCATGTTTGTGTCTAGGGTGAGACGAAATCTTGGAGTAGTTTTGATTTGCTTTCCTCTAATAGCTAAATGTTGAACATTATTTCATGTATTTGTTGCTTCTTCTGTGAAATGTCTGTTCAGTTCCATAGGCCATTTATTGATTTGGTTGTTTGGTTTTTTGAGTTCTGCATCTATCCTGGAGATTAGTGCTCTATCTGAAGTGCATGAGGTGAAGATTTTCTCCCATTCTGTAGGCTCTCTTTTCACATTATGGATTGTTTCCTTTGCTGAGAAGATACTTTTTAGTTTGAATCCATCTGGTTTATTGATTCTTGAATTACATTTTGGAATGTAGGATTCTCGTTAAGGCTGTTAGATGTTAGGCTGACATAGTGAAGATTTTGGCCTACTTTTTCTTCTATTAGGCACAGGAGGTATACTCTAGTGCCCAAGTCTTTGATTCATTTTGAGTTGAGTTTTTTTTCAGAGTGAGAGGGGTTTACTTTCTTTTTGTTATATGTAGCTTTCCAATTTTCCCTGCATCATTTGTTGATAGGCTTTCTTTTCTCCAATGTATATTTTTTGGCGCCTTTGTCTAGTATGAGATAACTGAGTTTGTCTCTGTGTCTTCTATTCTGTACCATTCATGGGTCTACATGTCTGTTTTGGTGCTGATACAATGCCCTTGTTGTTATTGTGGCTCTGTAGTACAGTTTAAGCTATACTATTACTATGTGTCCTACTTTACTCATCTTGCTAAGGATTATTTTGGCTATTCTATGTCTCTTACTTTTCCAAATGAATTTCATGACTGCTTTTTCTAGTTCTGTGAAGAATTGTTATTGGGATTTTTTTATATGAATTGCATTAAAGTTCATGCCCAAGTACAAATTAGTTAAAACTATGAAAAAGAATCCTGGATCAACATTGACCTGACAGCTATCTGGTTACAGGTATCTGTTGACTCAGGAGCTGTAGCCTGCACACTTGGTGGTGGCTAAGCTGAGGTTGCTCCGCATTTCAGCATTAATAGCATCTTAGAGTTGAGTCTATTCTTCATGGTATTGAGGTCTGGGTACAATTATGCTCTGCTACCATACAACCATGGATATTTTGCTGGGTTTTTTTAAAATTTTAAATGTGTCTGAAAATTTCTCTGGGTCCTTTATTCACTTTGCTTGATCAAATTTTGTGTTCTAGGCACTATCCTAGGTGTGGAGTACAGAGTGAATAGGCCAAGTCTGAGTTTCCATGGAAGTTAATGAAGTTAGTAAGATGATTATAGCATCTACCTCAGTGTTACTGTGAAGCCTAGAAGAGAGTATGTCTGTTCATAACTGCGTGCTGAGGACTGTAATATTGTGGAGGAAAATCGCAGATGACTTCAACAGGCATCACCTTGTTTTTGTCTGGGAAGTATTGTAAAGTTCTTACTTTTTCTATAATAAAAACAGACATTTAACACAGTTTGTATCTGAAGTCTGTGAACTTCAGGGATTCTGTCTCCAGGTCAGACACACAGTCGTGAGTTGACTCAATACAGGTTTGGAGACTCTTGAAGCCTCTTTTATAACCATGAGAGCCTGTGCTTCATAGTCAGCAGGCCAAGTAGGGGTCTCCAGGTGAAGTGGATCGCACATCCCTATGGTGCTGACTTCCCCCAATCAGTTCATCTCCTGCCTTCACACACTCACTGGCTGCATTTGGCTAGATGGGCCCTATTCCATAATGGGAATCTTATGTCCTTTGCATTAATTGTCCAGAGCTTTTGGGTAGAGGCCTGGCCTTTCCTAATCCCCAGAACTATCTCTGTGTCCTCTTCACAGGGTCCTCTTATTACTGGCTGTGAGCGTGCTTTGTGCAGCTGGTGATGTACTGCAAGCTCATATTACACTCATTTTGTGTCCTCTTCCTTATAGCACTTAACAAGGTGCTTGGAGTTGCAGTAGGGGTAGGGGAGTTGGCCTGAAAAATGACCCTAAACTTTATGAACATAGTTAGGGAAACCTAGGGGTGGGGGGTGAGGATAGTATGGAGAGAGTCCAATTCCTCCTAGAGAAACACATGCGCAGTGAAAGTTCATTTTAAGTAAAGTGTCATGCTGCACTCCAGAATCAAGCAATTCTGGATGGATTTCAGAGAGTTTAAAAATGAGGGGAAAACATAACTAGAAGATAAAATTGAATAGTTTTTCAATTTCTGCTAGGAAGCTGGTTATCACTATAAGACCATGCTGTGCTCTAGCCGGGGATCACGAATATCACATGAAGTAAGAGATGTACAAACACATCCCCAGTTACTTGTGTTGTTGTGACACAGAACATCTCCTTAATATTTGATGAGGGAAAAAAGACATATTACCTTTAGAATATCACTCCTAATGAATGCTGTGCTAGGGCTGTTCTGTTTCAGACATTAAAAACCTGGGCTTTGTGGAGAGGTATCCAGATTTTTAAAAAAAGGCTAAGCAGAAGAGGGAGACACATATCAAATCACTTGCAGAACAGGACTCCTCCATGACTATAAATGTTGAGCTAGTACTTCTGGTTCTGTTTTTTTTTTTAATTTATTTTTTACTTGGACACAATAGCTTTGTTTATTCTTATGTGGTGCTGAGGATCAGACCCAGGGCCTTGAACATGCTAAGCAAGCACTCTACCACTGAGCCTCAACCCTATCACTTATTCTGTGTTTTTAGTATGTGTTGTGTGTCTCCTCCTGGTGCTCTTTAACTGATAAGCTTTTGACTTTGGCCTGCATGAGGACACCACAGGTGAGGACTTGGGGACAGTGGAGAGCCTGGCTGGGGTTGGGTTGAATGATTGAATAAGACGACATTGGAGATACATCAGAACAGTGTCCTTGGAGTAGAGTCAGGAAAAAATTCTTTCTTACTTGACATTTTGATAGAGTGAGGAAGTGTCTATTTTTCCTAATGTAATTAGTTGGATATTGAAGCTAGGTTTCAAACTCTATTCTTTCTTGAGTTTGGAGGGGAAAACTAATACTTACTATCCAGCTTACTGGGTGTTCACTTGTTAGTTTATAAAATATCACCACATATCTCTCATTTTAATCAGATTTTAAGTATACACATGTAAGATACTCAATGTCAACATTCAAACAAAGACTAGAGAATGAAAGCCTCCTTCATTTCTCTGCCCAAAGGGCATTCTGCTGAATATCTATCTAAGGATATGTGCATTTACATGTTTTTGAAACAAAAAAAGTATATATTAACACACTTTTTCTTTTGGAAAATCAAAATAAGAGAACTCTTCTCAGTTCTCAGAGGACTTTACAGTTATTTTATAAACCTCTGTACAGTCTGGCTGTTTAATCTTTTCAAAGAGTTTGCATGACTTTTGTAATTAAAAAACATGAGACCAAGTAGAAAAAAGAATGGAAGGAAGTAGTCCAACTTTATTCCTTTCAGGAGAGAACTCAGTCCATTCTCTCACTTGTTCCAGAAATGCTTTCTGGTAGGTTCTGGGTTTAGCTTTATGGTGGAGCACTTGCTCAGTGTTTGAAAGGTCCTGTGTTCAGTCCCTGGTGCTGTTGAAATAAACAAAGCAGAACCATAGCACACATTGTGGAATGCTATTGGAGAGTAGTGTGAGTCTTGGTTCCAGTTATGTTTGATATATTTCAATAAGCTAGAAGAAAATGTTCCACATTTTCACCATAAGCAAAGAGGAAAAGTTTGAGGATGTAGGTGTTCTTTTTTTTTTTTAAGATAGAG